TTTTCCAACATTGAAGCGCACCTTACAAATAATAAAAGACGTCAGTTTGAATAAAATTGTTTATAGGTTAAACAAGCATTTGAAATTTATGTTTTAAACTTTAATTTGTGATTCATCATACGGTGGTGGTGCAGTTTCTCGGTTCACCGCACTAACATTATGAAATGAATTTCCGGATATAGGTGCTGTTGTTCCTGTCGCTGGTGCTGTTTTTGAAGCGCAACAGCAAATTAGTAATCGAAGCATTAAACATAAGAGAGATATGGCGGCTAAAACAATAAGCGTTATTGTATACCATGACATGCCTGTTGAATAACATTGATAAAAGGTGCCACATCGCGAATTAGCTATAATATAAATAGATTAGAGAAGCAAAGAAAATTTGGACTTCTGATTCTTACCAGGACAGCAAAAATAATAGCCATAAGTACCACATAGTTTTCCTACAAAAAGCCTAACGCATCGTTACAAGTACAGAATTTTATACAACTATACCTGGTTTTCCCTTATAGGTGCACGCATCGCCAACGCCGAAGAAGATGCATAAGACAATCGTTATACTAACTAGTTTAATTATACCCATTTTTATTTTTGTTATTGTGTACAAAGCAAATGATGAAGTGATAAGACCAGGTAATGACACGTTTTCTCTCGGGACATTTTCTTTGTTATTTCTCCACTACGTAGAAAGATAAAAAACTTTTAGTTCGCATTGAATCAATATGAGCGGACAAATAACGTTTTATGTTTAAATAATTATGAGATATATTGTTGAAACCAAAAAAGAAAGCAAAGCTTTTTGTACTCGTAGAAAAATGCTTTCATTGGACTATCGCACAGACTTCAGCATTTTGATGAGAAATGTTTGCTTCACACTTCCATAATCATTTTTCAAATCATATGTCCTGGTATCTGCTTTCAGAAACCATTTGTGAAAGTAGACACCAAGGGCTATCTAGCCATGCACTTCACTTCGTATCGCAACTCTTACAGAATATTCGAATTTCTGACGGAGGATCCTTATTGGTATTCTTCTCCTAATATTACATAGCTTTCTTAAAGTTGAGTGAATATACCGAAAATATGCTTCAAAGTATAAGCAAACAAATGAGACGTAGCTGATCTCTCCACAACTTTCATTCAGGCAAAACTCCTTGAAGCAAAACACAACAGCTTTTTATCTTGCTAACGTCTCACTGTATTTGTCGGCAGTTCATACCTTTTTCAACCACTTGATTTTGTAGAACAAATATTTCTGACATCTCCGAGGTCGTCGCCATGTTATCTGCCAACATATAAGCGTGAAAGTACCACCGTATGATGAATCACAAATTAAAGTTTAAAACATAAATTTCAAATGCTTGTTTAACCTATAAACAATTTTATTCAAACTGACGTCTTTTATTATTTGTAAGGTGCGCTTCAATGTTGGAAAA